GCTGGTGTGGACTTGACCCCTTGGCCGAGGGGGCGTCACCCAGGGGTCTCCACTGCCAATGCCTCTCCTCCGTTCATGCCGGGCTCTTGGGGGGAGCCGCACGGCCCGCACGGCCCGCACGGCCCGCACTCCGAGGGCTGCACTCCCGCCTGCTGAGGGCACAGCACCCCATGGCATCCCTGGAATTTTTCTGTGTGGCAGATTTGTCTCTTCTCCCTCGGTGACTTACTCACTCAATCATGTATTTATGTTAACACGGACCCGTGGGAATCTGATTCTTGAAGAGAACCCCCACCGTGTCCTGGCAGCTCCCAGGGCTGCAGCTTGGCCGGGGGCGGGGGTGTCCCCAGTTGGCTCTGCGTCCTCTCAATGTCCCCTCATCCCTATGGCTTTGGTGGATGTTTTGAAATCAAAATAATTCAGGTGACAAAATGAGACGTGGAGCTCTCCTGAGAGGCAGCCATTTTTAACCATGAAAAAAATTTTTTTGAGGGGGTGATTAGGTTTACTTCTTTATTTGCTTTTCTAACGGAGGCACTGGGGATTGAACCTAGGACCTCGTGCATGCCAAGCACGCGCTCTACCCCGGAGAAAGACTCCCCCCACCGCCATGGGAAATACCTATTTCTGGTTCTGTACATTCCAGACAGCGCCTCGCGGGGCCTGCTCTCCCAGCTGAGGAAGCAGCGTCAGCAGTCCCGCGCCCTCCTCTCCCGGCTCCCTCGTCTTCCACCCTCGTCAGGGTGCCTGACGGGGAGGCCTGCCCGGCCCGCCTCCTCCCCGCTCCCCCGGTGCCAGGGCGAGGAGGACTTCTGTTAACATCCTCAGCACAGTGGTCCCCAGCTGGGGCGCAGCTGGGGACACGGGAAGACTTCTCCAGGAGGGGAGAGGCAGGGTTGTCGGAAGGAAGTCGGTTTCTCCCTAAGACTGACCTGCCAGGGGAGGGTTCTCTCACGCCCCTCCCACCACGTCCTCCCCCCACCCTTCCCCACAGGATGCCGCGGGGCTTTGCTCTGGGCTCTGCAGACCTCCGGAAGCTTGCCCAGGCACCATTTGGAATGTGGTGGGTTTTGCTGAGAATGAGAATGTTTTGGGAACTGATAAATCCTTCCTTAAATCAGGCAAATTCTAATCCTTCACGTTTCAGCAAACTTGAAGAGACACCTAGTCAACTGTCAGCTGGTTTGGCATTCTAACGTTTTGGTGAAAGATCACCATGTGATTTTTGGCTTGTAACTCCCGGCTTCAGAGAACTGAGCCGCAAGGGCTCCTAACAGCCACACAGGCCCACGGTGCTGCCTGTTCTCACCTGTTTACTCCTGTGACCAAGGCTCCCCAGGATCTACAGCTGCAGGAAGGAAAGCTATGAACTGAATGAGGTTGTGCCTTGTCTCACTCTCAATGGCTACTTACCAACACTTGAGATCTGTAGTTTTGCTGAGTTGGGAAATGCTGATCGTCAGAACGGCAAGCCCATCAGAAAGAAAAGTTTCAGGAGCCTTGGGTCTGAGGAGATGCTGTCATCACATTTAAACGTGCATCCACGTCCTCTGACAGACAAAAGTGATAGGATGGTCAACAGAAGACTTACAAAACCAAAAAGATGTGACATTATGGTGTATTTATAAGGAGAACGTGAGATTGAAATACAGGTTCGAGAAGAAAAATGAAGATACAAAATTTCCTGTTAAAGAAGGGTAACTATTAATGAGCATTTTAATTGGACGATGAGTGTATCAAATTGCTTTGGTGCTTAGTCACACTGTGTGCATTTCAAAGTGTTACGAAGTTTGACTGAAAAGATAATACAGTTTGCCAGAAATAAAATCCTTTACAACTGTTTGCATTGATGATGCAAAACTTAGATGTCTGCTTGACATGTGGAAGGAAGAGTTTTTCAAAATGTGTTCAGGGAACAGGAACGAAAAAGATTCATGATTATTGCTTTAGAACCTGGACTGCTTTTTCAGGGCGTGGAAGCTGAGAGTGGGGCAGGGCAGTGGAGCAGACCTGCAAGTCGCCCAGGTTTCTTTCCCATTTCCCACTTCTGTTTTCCTTGGACCCCCAACCCTGACTTGGGACTCCTTGGAATTCCCCTGGGCAGACTGCACCCCCACCCCCGGAACCTTCACAAAGGCAGGTTCCTTTATAGTGATGGTGTCAAAAGGTTAGGCCTCAGGTCTCCCCCTTGAGTGGGGTCTTCTGAGTAATGGAACCTGGTGGGAGTCGTAGGGGTTCCACATGGGAAGGGAAAACAGGTGCAGTCAAGAACATTTCTACAGCAGCAACGTGGGTGGCCCTGGAGGTTGTCATTCTAAGTGCAGTGCAGTGAGCCAGAAAGAGAAAGAAAATACCATATGATGTCACTCATATGTACAATCTAAAAAAACACAAATGAACTTATTTACAAGACATAAACAGACTTACAGACATAGAAAACAAACTTATGGTTACCAGGGGGGAAGGGGGTGGGAAGGAATAAATTGGGAGTTCAAGATTTGCAGATATTAAGTAATGTATATATAATAGATAAACAAGAAGTTTACACTGCATGGCACAGGGAACTATAGTCAATATCTAGCAGCAACTTATGGTTAAAAAGAATATGAAAATGAGTATGTATATGTTCATGTATGATGAAGCACTGTGCCGTGCACCAAAAACTGACACAGCACTGTAAACTGACTAAACTTCAATAAAAATATATTTGTAAAAGGAAAGAAAAGCTTAGCTATATAGACTTTCATTTCAGTTTTTTATTCTATGAAATATGTTCTGCTTTATGTTTGGACCTAGACTTTTCTTTGTGAATTACTTGAAATAAAAGGTGTTTCTAATACATCCAAAAAAAAAAAAAAAGGAAACATTTCCATGTGAACACTTTCAGGTTATTGTCTACAGAGACTTCAGAGGACTTACAACATTTATTCATTTTGGTGAGCTTAGCAAGTTGCAGGATGGTCAATACACAAAATCCCATTATATTTCCACACATTACTAATAAGCAATCAAGTGATATTTAATGATAGTAATTGTAATGACATTAAAATACAATTATTTAGGGATATATCTGACAAAAGATGTACAAGCCCTGCACCCTAACAACTACAAGACACTGCTGAGAAAGATCAAAGAACACTGAGATGATGGATAGACACACGGCGTTCATGGACCGAAGACTCCACACCGACAGCTTCTTCAGGGAAGGCAGCTGTCCCAGTAAGGGGGCCTGGGAGGTGTGGGGTGGGAATATTCCCTGGGAGGCTTTGCAATTTGTGTCTCCCAACTAGAACACTGCTGGGACTGGGATGGTGTCGGATGAATGCCTGTTGAAGAAGTAAGAATGAGGACTGACGGTCAAACGGAAAGAAAGGCCAGCACTTCTGCATCCAGAGAGAAAGCTAAGATGAATGCCCTCCTTGAGAGCATCCTTATCCGGAAAGGAAGCAAGGACCCCGAATGAGAACAGCAGTGGCTCTTAGGGCGTGCTGAAGTGGGAGCCCCTGTCACTGCCGTTTGGTGGAGACCCAAAGTCAGGCAGAGGATTGGGGGACTTCCTAGTGGAAGGGGGCTCAGGTGTGCCCCGTGGAGGCCGGGCCAGGAGGATGGAGGCGGCAACTGGAAGGGCAGCGCCCTTGTGACGGGCTGCTCAGGGGACCGGTCAGGGGACGCAGACATTGGTTATGTTTGGCTTTCTCTGGGTGGTCCTGAGTTGGAGGCAGGGACAGAAATCGGGGCAGCTGTCTGTTATTGATCAGGTCTTGGCCATTTGGGGCCAAATGTTACAAGGCTGTTGAGAGACTTTCTGGACACTGGTCTGACTCCCGCAAGCCTGCCTTCCAGCAGGCGGGTCCTGCAGGTGAGGGGTGGCCCGCCTGGTGGCCGCCGGATGCTGGTCACGTCCCCGGCGGCCTGGCCCTGGCCTGACTGCCCACAGCCTCACTGTGTTCAAGGCAGAGCAGTCAGTCCTCAGGCAGCATCACAGAGACAAAGAGTCACCCGCCAGGCCCGCCTTCCGCCCGCGCACTTTCTGGGCTGTGCCCGCACATCGCGAGCTCACCTGCACGTCT